TTAAACCAACAGTGGGTTGACCAAGATGGCTGCTGAATTTCTTCCAACTTGGACATTCTATGATTCTGTAACACAATCTACTCTTGTGGTTACCAACCTGTTTGGTCCAAGACTTCCCACGGCTGAGTTCTTAAATTGCAACTGACTCAACTCATCTTGGGGCAGCCAGATGCCAAGGCTGGGGTCAGGAAGACTCATCTTTGTGAGTTCAGACCTGACCTCTGACAAAGTAACAGCTGTGTGACCTTGGGCAAGTCATTTAACCCTATTTAACTCAATTTCCTAATCTGTAAAATGAGCCAAAAAAGGAAAAGGCAAACCACTCTGGTATCTTTGCCAAGAACACCCCAAATGGGATCACAAACAGTCTGACATGGCTGAAAAAACAACTTTACAACCTCTTGTTAAATCTCTACCTATGATAAATAAATAAAACAACTTTCTGTTAAACTGAATAGAGAGGACAGCTCACATACATGTCTTCCTGTGTTTCCACATACATGCACACCTTCTTCACTAATCTAATCAAACTCATTGAAAGACATTTCTGGATAAAAGTCACTTATTGCCCTCTTATCTTCTCTCAATGGGCAACAATTATGTGAGTCTCTGCGGGGAAAAAATTGAAAATTTCAATGGAATAGAAACTTGAATCTGTTCCTGATGTCTCATTTTCCAGAAAGGGAAACAAAATCCCATAGAGGAAAAGTCAAGAAGTATTTATTAAGCACCTACTATTTGCCAGGCAGTGTGCTCAGGGCTGGGGATACACAAAAAGGGGGGAAAGGAAAAAAATCCCTGTTTTCAAGTAGCTCAAAATCTAATGGTGAAGACAATATCTGGTCAACAAGGTACATACAGGTTAAACTGGAGATAATGTTGGACAGAAGGCTCTAGCTTTAAAGAGGTCTTTTTTCCAATGGTGAGACTGAGGTGTGTCTGCACTGAGCTCCCACTCACAGAACATTCTAACTCTGCTAGGGTCTGGGCTACATGGTGCCTACACTGGGCACAAATGGAGGGACAAGAGGAATATCATTCAAGAGCCAACTGGCAAAGTGGAAGGAGTGGAAGCAGTCAGGAGACCCAGGTTCAAGTCTGGTCTCTGATACTTATACATTAGGCAGCCTCAGTTCAGTCACTTTTGTTCTATCAGAGGGTCACTTCTTTAATGGGTTATGTGGGCATAATTACGTCTGCTAGAACAGCCTCAAAGCCATGCTCATGTTTGGTAGAACTCAAAGTATTATAGAAATGAGAGTTACTGGCATGCTCAGTGCATTGGCAATGAAGATTTCCTCATAGAATGGGAATTGTCCTTGGGGAGGATTGTGGAACATTGTTAATGGAGCTATTAACTAATACAACCTATTATAGAACAACAAATTACTTCTGGAAAGCAATTTGGAATTATGCACACATTAAGTGGCTAAAATACCCATATCCTTTGACCTAGAGATTCTCTTGGTAGGCACAGGACCTGAGAATGTCATTGATAAAAAGAAAGGCCTCACATACATCAAAATATTGATTACAACATATTCTGTGTCAACTGTGTTGACTGGGGAGGGGGAAAGAGAGAGAGAAAGAAAGAGAGAAAGAGAGAGACAGAGAGAGAGAGGAGAGAGAGAGAAAGAGAGAGACACAGAGAGACAGAGACAGAGAGACAGAAAGAAACAGAGAGAGACAGAGAGAGGGAGAGAGATAGAAAGACAGAGAGAGAAGAGAGAGAGAGAAACAGAGAAAGAGAGATAGAGAGAGCATTGAATGACTAAAGAAATGTTGGTACATGGATATAAGAAAATACTGTTGGGCTGTAAGAAATGAAGAATATGATGAAAACCAAAAAGAAAAAAAAAACATGAAAAGACTTACATGAACTGCTGCAAAATGATGTAAAGCTAAGAAAAGTCAGGAAAATGATGTGCAGGGTGCCTCAAAAATCTTAGTGAAGTTTTGAGTGCCTTAAAAATTGTGAGAAGCTCTATGCACAACAATTGCAAAGATGACGTGGAAAAAATACCCCACCACCACCAAACAATTGAAAATTGTGCATTTTGTGCAAGTCCTAAGAACAAGCAAAACCTGTGGAGAAATCACAGGAGAAGGACAATTGTCCCCACTCTTTTGCAGAGGTAGGGTCACCACAGCTGTGGAACAGCACACAAAATGTCAGATTTTTTTCAATGAATTGATTTTTTTAATTTAAATTTTATTTTTAATTTATGGAATAAAAAAGCAGTTCCATAACACAGTACAATAAAGAAGATGATTGCACATGAAACTACAAATCTATTATGCACAACTTGCTGTTCCTTTCAAATCCGCAACAAAATTTTCATGCAAATTTTTTCTTCCCTCCCCCTCACCTTAGAGATGGCTACCATTAGAAACAAATAGGTATACATATTCTATATATACTTCAATTATTCTATATATACAATTTATCAGTTCTTTCTCTGGATGCAGATAGCATCTTTCTTCATATGTCCCTTATAGCTAATTTGGGTATTTAGAATAGTCAAAATAACTTATTTGTTCAAAGTCATCCTTAAAACAATATTACCCTTACTGATTATAACATTCTCTTGGCTCTGCTCATTTTGCTCTTTATTATTTCACGCAAATCTTTCCATGCTTTTCTAAAATCATTGAGCTCATCATTTCCTATAACACAGTAGTCCATCACAATCATATACCACAATTTGTCCAGTCATTTCCCAATTCATGGGCCTCTCTGCAGTTTCCGTTCTTGCCACCACAAAGAGAGCTGCTATAAACATTTTAGAATATATAGGCTATAGGGCAGTGAGGTGGCGCAGTGGATAGAGCACTGGCCCTGGAGTCATGACTGAGTTCAAATCCAGCCTCAGAGGCATGATACTCACTATGTGTGTGACCCTGGGCAAGTCACTTAACTTTAATTGGGAAAAAAAAAGAACATAGAAGTTATTTTCCTTTTTTCCCCAATTATCTTTGGAAATAGACCAAATAGTTGTATTGCTGAGTCAAAAGGTATAGGTAGTTTAATAAGTCTTAGGGCATAATTCCAGATTACTCTCCAAAATGGTTGGATCAGTTCACAATTCCACCAACAGTGAAGTAGAGTCCTAATTTTTCCACATCCCCTCCAACATTTGTCCTTTCCCCTTCTATCATTTTAATCAATCTGGTAAAGGTAAAATGATATCTCAAGTTTGTCCTAATTTGTCCTAAATCAATAATGATTTACAGCATTTTTTTCATATGGTTATAAATTGTTTTGATTTCTTCACTGGAAAACTGCCTGTTCATGTACTTTGATCATTTACCATTTGGAGAATGACTCATATTCTTATAGATCTGACAAAGTTTTTCATATATTTTAAATATGAGACCTTTATCTGATAAACTGTCTATAAAGTTTTTTTTCCCCCAATTTTCTGTCTTCCTTCTATCTTGGCTACATTTGTTTTATTTGTACAAAAACCTTTTAATTTAATGTAAGCATAATTATCCATTTTACACTTAACTTTGCTCTCTATCTTTTGTTAATTTATAAATTGTTCATCTCTTCATAAGTCTGATAAGTAATATGTTTTGTGTTTTTCTAATTTTCTTGTGGGAGGCCATCTCCAGTGTCCTGCTCTATAACTGGTCACTAGATCCAGATGACTCTGGAGGAGGAAGTGAGGCTGGTAACCTTGCATAGTTTTCCTTTACTCACATCAGAGTCAATTGCAAGTCATGTCATCCACTCCCTGATGTCATGGTCCTCTTCAAGAATGAAGGACAAACACAATTTTCTTGTAAAATCTTTCCTTATATCTTATATCTTATAACATGACCTAGAGGTCATGTATTCATTTTGGCCTTATCTTGGTAGTGTAATGGCTTGGTAAATTAGTTTGGGTAAAATTGGCATTGTCTACCCACGAACAATCAGTATTTCTCCAATTATTTAAATCTGACTTTATTTGTACAAATTTTTTTTATAATTTTGTTTATATAGTTCCTGGGTTTGTTTTGGCAGGTGTATTCTCAGGTATTTTATGCTGTCTAGAGTTATTTTAAATGGGGTATTTTTTACTATTTCTTCTTGCAGAGTTTTGTTTGTGACATTTAGGAATCCTGATGATTTATGTGGATTTACTTTATATCTTGCTACTTTGCTAAAATTATTGTTTTAACTAACTTTTTAGTTGAGTCTTTGAGATTTTCCAAATATGTCATCATATCATCTGATTTTTTTATTAATTTTGCTAATTTTTTTTTGCTCTTCTTTTCCTTCTTTGCTTTTTTCAAGAAAACAATCCCTTGTTCTAAGGAATGGCTCCAGGAGGGCAAGGAGGAGGGATACAGAAGGGAACTGAGCCAATATAAAAGCAAAAGCTCCCCCAATATATTTTTAAAAAAAAACGGAAATTACCATCACCATCATAAAAAGACAATAATGAGGTTTGGGGGACATCAAGGAGGGCCAAGAAGGACTGAGACCCTCACTGAAGGACAGAGCTTGAACAGTGAGGACATGCCAGGGGAAAGGGAGTCAGCAAAAAGAACATATGGGGGGATTAGGAGGGTACAGTTAGGTATCAAGGGACAGCTAGGTGGTGCAGTGGATAGAATTCCAGGTATGGAGTTTAGATCCAGCCTCGGATACTTACTAGCTGTGTGACCCTGGGCAAGTCACCTAACCCTGTTTGCCTCAGTTTCCTGATTTGTAAAATGAACCAAAGAAGGCAACGGCAAATCGCTCCAGTATCTTTACCAAGAAAACCCCAAATGGGGTCATGAAGGGTCAGACATGACTAAAAAATGACTGAACAATAACAAGCCAGGCAACAGGGCTAGAGCAGCAGAGAACTCATTTGGGAAGTGACGGGCCTCTTATCTAATGCTGGGCCCTCAGGACCCAGCTTCTGGTGAGACCTATAGTCCACTGACCACAAGGAACCAGAGAAGGAGGAAGTGCTGGTCAGTGCCCTCCCCCACCTCCATCCCTCAAGCCGCCTTCCATTTCCACAGATCTGACTTCCCTCCTATCAGGCCAGTCGTTTCCTTTGGCCTCTGCTCCGAGGACGAGCAGGAGGGAAAAGCTGGCAGGACCAAGCTCCCTGATGTTGTCAGAAGCCCCCTCTCCTTTCCTCTGGGTCTGATGAGCCTCTTTCCCTCTGCTTGGGATTCTTCCTCCCAGAAGGCCGTGTGAATTGGTCTGAGGCTGCCCCCTAGAAAGCTCTGGTCTCCCTGGTCCCTTCCTCTCACCATGGACCTCCTCCTCTGCCTGCTGCTACTGCTCCAGTTCTCCAAAGGTAAGTGGGAGCAAAGCTAAAATGGACAGGTCCTGGAGAGAGGTGGGAGGGCCTGGGGGATAAATTGGCTGTGGAAGGTCTGGGGGTGAGACTGGATGGAAAAACAAAAGAGGCCCTGGACTGAGTCTTTCTGTTTTCCCATAGGGTCCTTTTCTCAACAGAAGCAACAGTTTGGGATTCATATCCAGAAGACAGTTACTGTGCAGGAGTGGCTGTGTGTCTCCATCCCCTGTTCTTTCTACTATTCCGCAGAATACGAGAATAATGACACGGGCCACGGATACTGGTACCACAGGGAATGCTCAGACAAACCAGTGGCCACTAATAACCCCCAAAAGGATGTCCATCCCTGGGCCAAGGGCCGGTTCTACTTTATTGGGAACCCCCAAATGGACAACTGCTCCCTGAGAATTACTGGGGCCAGAAAATGTGATCAGGGGGAATATGAGTTCCGTATAGAAAAGGGAAACCTTATGTACAGTTACAAGGACGACAGAGTGCTCATCCAGGTGGAAGGTGAGTTCTCTGTTCTAGGGAATTGTTTGGGGTGATGAAAGAGCAGGGCAGGAGTCAGCTCGGAAGCCAGGGAAGGACATGCTAGTGATACGTGAGGAACAGTCTCAAGGACATTAACTGGAAGGGTACACTATGACTCTTGCTGTAAAGAAACATGACCCTTGGCAGGGGTAAGCACTTCAGAATCTGGGCACCAAGGACAGAGGTGGGAGGGGGTCTTCATAGGTGTATCAAAGGGACAGACACACCAGTGAGGGGGCCTCTCCTTGAGGTACTAAAACACTATGGGCTGGTTATGATATATAGCTACTGGGGATGGAGAGATAAAAGTCAGGGAAAAAAGGGAAAAGCCAGGGAAAGGACAAAATAGTGTCAAAATAGATCACCCCAAGGCCACCACCTGGCTGTACCCTTTAGAGGAACCCCTCTTTCTTCCACCTAGCTCACTCCTTTTCTCCTCCAGATCTGACCCAGAAGCCAGAGGTCCACATGCCAGAGATTTTGGAACCCAGGCAACAGGTGACCTTGACCTGTACGGCTCCTGGGGCCTGCAGCAATGAGATACCTGTCACCTTCCTCTGGAATGGGACTGCCCTCTCTTCCCAGACACTAGCCTCACTAAATACCAATTCCTCCGAACTCCTCTTCACCCCCCAGCCACAGGATGATGGCACTAATCTCACCTGTTGGGTGATATTCCCAGGAGCCACAGTGAGCACAGAGAGAACTATCCACCTCAGGGCTGCTGGTGAGTTTGGGGAGAGGGGATGACTAGATAGTTGGCTTGCTCAGGGGAGGTAAAGTTAGAGGGGAAGGTTAGAACCAGTGACACTGGGTTCTTGGGTCCTGAGACCATGAGACCTGAGAGATCTAAGCCCCTGAGGTCATTCCCTGGGGATCCCCCATTTCCTGTTCTGGGTTCTGGTATTGAAGGTCCCAGTCTCATTCAACCCCTGGACCACAGCACTGATCTCATTTGTCAGGTCAAGTCAATTTGCAGTTGTTAAGGGCCTGCTTTGTGCCAAATGCTATGCTAAGCTCTTGAGATACAAAAACAAGCAAAAAGCAGTCCCTGCTTTCAAGGAGCCGACAGTCTAAGGGGAGAGACAACATGATAACCGCTTTGTACTAACAAAATTTATCTTGGATAAATGGTAGATAATCAACAAGGTAAGGGTAAAAACATTGAGAAGACCTGGGGAAGGTTTCCTGTAGAAGCTGGGATTTTAACGGGGCCTTGAAGGAAGCCAGAGAAGTCAGTGGATGGAAATGAGGAGGAAGAGAGTTTCAGACATGGCGGACAGCCATTGAAAATGCCCAGAATGGAGAGATGAAATGTCTTGTTCAGGGCAGGGCAGTCACTGGATCGCATGTATGGTAGAGAGTTAGGTGCAAAGAGACATTCCAGACGAAATGTCATTATTCCTGGGGCCTTGGGGAACTTGGGGGGTGGGGCGGGACAAGAAAGTCTAGCTCCTTCCAGATCGTATATATCCTCAGATAGAGGCCTGCCGAGTTCCAGTCTCTTTTGGAAAACAGTGATTCAAGGACCCCTGGTTGTTGTACTCATCTTGGCTGCTGTGCTCTTCGTGTGCCTGGTGGTTTACCTGTGAGTTTTCAGCTTAGAAACCTGAGTGGGAGACCTGAGAATGTGGAATACAGAGTGTCAGAGCTGGGGGAGGGTGGGGCTTAGAACAGGGAAGGTCAGAGCTGGAAGGGACCTTGAAACAGGGAATGTCAGAGCTGGGAGGGGCCTGAGAACAGGGAATGTCAGGGCTGGGAAGGGCCTTAGAACAGAGAATGTCAGGGCTGGGAGGGCCCTTAGAACAGGGAATGTCAGAGCTGTGAGAGGCCTTAGAACAGGGAATGTCAGAGCTGGGAGAGGCCTTAGAACAGGGAATGTCAGAGCTGGGAGAGGCCTTAGAACAGGGAATGTCAGGGCTGGAAAGCATTTAAGAACAGGCAATATCATAGCTAATAGTGATCTTCCAATATAGAATATAAGAGCTAGGAAAGTCCTTTGCATGGAAAAATATCAAAGCTGGAAGGGACTTAAGGACATGGACTGTTTGAGCTTAGAGGAAGAAAGGAAGAAAAAAGAATTTATTAAGGACCTGCTATGTGACAGGCACTATGCTAAATGCTTTACAAATATTATTTCATCTGATCCTCCTAACAGATGGGGACAGGGGAGTAGGTGCTATTATTATCATCCTATTTTACAGTTGAAGAAACTGAGGCAGGCAGAAGTTCCTTGTGCTCTATCCACTGTAGCACTGAGATGCCTCATATGGAGCATTGAACATAGACTATACAATGTCAAATGGGAAAAGAAACTTAGGTCACAGTTGGAAAGGACTTCAAATGTCATGTAAAATGTTCATAACCAAACATGGCTGTCCTTTCTCAGAGTGAAAATACTGAGGAGAAAACAGTCAGAGGGAGACGTGGGGGCTGCGAGGTCTGGGATCAACACCAACCAGTTCTCCAATGGAATCCCACTGGTGAGTTACTCCAGACTCTTAACCCTCATCGCTCAATTGACATCACCTTATAGGACCCTGGACAAATAGAAAAGATTGGGAAGAAGGAATTCTCATCCCTATCCACACCAATATGGGAGGCTTCGAGAATGATGGGGATTCTCAACTTCTCAACCTTGAATAGTTTAGTCAAGTTGACAAGACAGCACACTCCAACCATTGCCCAGCAATGTATAAATATGATGTAGACACATTGGTAATTAGCCCCACTAAGCTGGTCCTAACTCATCCCTGGAGCGTTTATATACAGGGGCAATTCCTCATATGTGCAGCCAGGTTGTGAAAGACAGAGTGTCTGGCTTGGTAGAGAAGCTATAGTTTGTAAAAGATGGGGAAACGGATCCTGAGTAGATGACTTTGCCTGAGGCAAAGATTCATTTTCATTGATCAAATATTTGTTAACACATGTGCAGAACTCTTTGGCCAGTTCTAGAAGCGATGCAAAGTTTAGATGAACCTTGATACTTGCCCTCATGATGCTTACAGTCTAACCAGGAGGTGGGGGTGGAGAGAGAAGTAATATAACTATGTATATCAAATACTACTTTGAAATATATGGACATGGGGTTATGTGAGATGGAAGGGTAAAGATTGTTGCCAACCAGTGTGCCTAGGAAGGATTCCTAGAGAAGTGGCATTAGTGTGAGCTTAAAAATGGAGTAGAAGTTTATGAGATGGAGACCAGGGTGAGGAGAATGGGGGAGGGGAGGAGAAGAGAGATAAAGAATGATCTGAGAACAAGATGAAGGGGCAAAGAGGACTGGTTATGTTCTAGGGATAGCAAGTCATGAAGTCCAACTGAAGTTTAAAGTGCTTGGAACAGAATAATGGGATTTGGAACTGGAAAGATAGGATGGTGCTAGACTATGGATGACCTGGAACTCTGGACTAACAAATCTAAACTTTACTGGAAAGGCAATAGGGAGCTACTGAATTTTTTTTTTTCAGCAAGGGAGTGACATGCCTAAGTCTATGTGTAAAGGAAGATTATCACGGTAGCCTGTTGAGGATGGGTTGGAGGGAGGAGAGAGAACCAAGGATAAAAGATCTGTTGGACAATAGCAATAGCTATAAACCTTGAGGTATAACAGAGACTTCAGCAGCCATCTGGTTCAACTGGAGACTTGAATGCAAGGCATGCTAAAATTCTTAGTGCTGTTCCAAGCTGTTAAAACTAACCCTGTAGAACGCATACAACAAGTGGTCCTACATCCTCTGCTGGAACACACCAGTGAAGGGAAACCACCTCCCGAAAGAGCCCATTGAACTTTTAGATAGCCCTAATTGTCAGAATGAATTTCCCAACATTGGGTTTCAATTGGCCTCTTTGCAACTTCTATTCATTCCTACTGGTTCTGCCCTCTAGGGCTAATCCATCCTCCATGTGACAGCCTTTTTCCAAAACCTGAACACAGCTCTCATGCCCAAGTCACCCATTGCTTCCAGTCATCTTCTATAAGCTAAGTACCCCCACCTCCCTCAACACATCCTCACCTGACAGGAGCCCAAAGACTGTCAACAAAGTGGTCGCCCTTCATCCAGTGATGGCCTATTCCTTGTCAATGCATTTCCTAAACTGTGATGCCCAGAAATAAACACAAGGTGTGGTCAAACCTGATCACTGTAACAAGGAACTACTACACACTTACTCTCGAAAATTATGTCTCTCTTAGTGCAGCCTAAAATACGATAGCTTTCTTGCCTACTATAGCATGTTGCTAACTCAAAGTGAGCTTGCAATCCATTCAGACACCCAGATATTCTTCAGAAAAAGTCATGATAGGATGTGGAGCTCATTTCATCTGATCCCCTTATTTGACAGAGAAAGAAACTGAGGTCTCAAGGGGCAAAACGACTTTACCACCACTGTCAAAATCAGAATTAAAACAAGGATTTCTGACTCGAAATCAAATGTTCTTTATATTATAACAAAGTAACTCAGAGAGGAAGGGAAGGGAATAGTGTAAGATTCATCCAGAAAGGTAGTTTGTAGATTGATTATGGAGGGCCTCAAAAGCCAAGACAGAGAGTCTATCGTAAAAAAAAAATAGGATCACAGGATTTAGAGCTACAAGATGCCTTGGATATATTCTATTCAACCATCTCATTTGACAGCTGAAGAAACTGAGGTGCGGAGAATTAAATTAATTTACCCAAAGTCACACAGCTAGCAAGTGGCTGAGCCAGAATTTGAACACAGATCCTCTTGATTCTAAATTGTTCTTTTCACTACACCATGATGAATAGAAATTGAATCAAGTGAGAGTTCTGTAAGGATGAGGAAGACATAAGAGTGTTTCAGGCAGTAGAGAAGCAGACAAACAGACAAGGAGAGATTGAAGATTAATAAGGGGAGGGGATCATAGAGGGGGCAGTCTATTGGAGAAGACAAGATCGGGGGCAGCTGGGTGGCACAGTGGATAGAGCACCAGCCCTGAAGTCAGGAAGACCTGAGTTCAAATCCGGCCTCAGACCAAACACTTGACACTTACTAGCTGTGTGACCCTGGGCAAGTCACTTAACTCCAATTGCCTGAAAAAAAAAAGACAAGATCAAAGAGGATCTCTTACACATATAGAAGGAGTTTGCCCTGGCAAGGAGAAGGACCATAAGACAAAGCTGAAGGAGGGGAGAGTAGGAAGAAGGCATCTGAACGATGTGAGATGAGGAGGAAAAACAAGGGAGAATGTGGCAAGTGTCCTCAATTTCTTCAGGGAAAGATGAGACAAGGTCATCAGCTAATACATTGGAGGCAGGTTCCATAGGAGACTTGAGGAGGGAGTGAAAATGTTTGGAACTTTTCGCTGCAGTTAGGAGAAGAATGGTGACTTGATTAGGAAGGAATAATAGGATTTCCTTGCTACAGTGAGGGCCCAGTTGAAATTATTTAAAACACAAATTTGCAGTGGACCCAGTCAGCTTGGTTCTTTGACTTCCTCCAGCTCTCTTCAGCAGCTCATGAATAGAACTGAAGGAGGTGGGTGATGAGAGCAGTCCAAGGATGGGGCTTGGCAAGGCATGATTGGTGATAGGATAAATGGCTGAAAGACTTTAGGTTAGAGGATAGTACTAAACTAGTTCACCCATAGGTTAAGACTAGGGAAGGGAAGAAAAAATAACCACTGGAAGGCCCAGTAGAACACATGGTGTGGAAGATTAGTGTTGGAAAGAATATTAGAACATGGCACCTAGAATGGTAATGGAGAAGAGAGATGGGCAGAGCTGAGATCTTAGATACCTCCTAGGGACGTCATCCCATCTCCAACTCCCTTGACCTTTCTCTGTTTCACAGGAAGAACATGAGAATTCTAGGCAGCACACCACCTCAGAGATCCCTCCCCATGTACTGGTCCCCTGCTCACAGAAGAGGGAGGACCAGGTACACTATGCCTCCATCTCCTTCCAAGCCCAGAAGCCCCAAAAGATCTGCAAATCTGAAGACGCCAACACTGAGTACTCAGAGCTCAAGTCCCAATGAGGAAGCTAGAAGAAAGGGTGAGGGGGATGATGAAAAATGTTTGGGATAAGAGATCATCTGTAGCTGTTAGAAAGAAGGTAACTAACAATGCCACTGGATGATATCTATTGAATCCATCAACAGACACTTATCCATATTAGACCATATCCAAAACATCCATATTGGAGTGATGCAAGAAAAAGACAAGGCATTGTCTTCCATGATCTTATAAGATGAATAGGAAGAGAAAAACTAATGAGAGAACACAGAATATAGAATGTCAAAGCTGGAAGGCTTTAAGCACTGGGCCACATACACTTCTAATCCTGATCTTTTTTCGTTTCAGTTCCACATGACCAATTTCCTATTAGACATCTCCACCTTGGTATTGTTTAGACATCTCAAACTCAGAATGAATAAAACAAACACTATTATATAATAGAAGTAAGTAGACCAGCGCTTTATCAGCACAGATTATGCATTGATATGTTGGAAACTGCAACACATCATTTTCAGGTTGCAAAAGAAGGACAAGCGTTAAGTGGCTAGAATTATCTACCATAGATCAGCTATCCTTTAGAAACTTTTGTGGTTGTTGTTCAGTCGTTTCAGTCATACCTGACTCTTCATGACCCCATTTGGGGTTTTCTTGGCAAAGATACTGGAGTGGTTTGCCATTGCCTTCTCCAGTTCATTTTACAGATGAGAAGAGTGAGGCAAACAGGGTGAAGTGACTTGCCCAGGGTCACACCTAATGACAGATACTCACACTACAAGTACAAGTCTCCAAACATCCTTGAAAATTCAGCAACTAAAATGTATGGCAAGGGGCGGAGCCAAGATGGTGGAGGGAAAGCAGTGACTTGCTAGAGCTTTCCCCCAAACCCCTCCAAATATCTACAAAAAAATGGCTCTAAACAAATTCTAAAGCAGCAGAACCCACAAAAAAAAATAGTAAAACAAATTTCCAGCCCAAGACAACCTGGATGGCTGATCTGAAAGGTATATCACACCGGGCAGGGAGAGGAGAGCAGTTCGGCATGGGAGCGAAGGCTGCAGCGAGCTGGAGCACACCTCAGAAGACTGAATTGTGGGCAGCTGTGGCAGTTTCCAGACTTCTCAACCCACGAACACAAAAGACAACTTAGAAGGTCAGTGGGAAAAGTCTGTGACTGCAGTGAGAGAAGAAGCTAGATCTCAGCCGCCCCAAGGGCAGCGGCTGGCTTCTGAGCTTCCGGCCCACAGACTGAGGGGGAATCAAGTGGCTGATCAGAGGGGGATGGCAGGGATCTCTTTGCCAGTGCTGAGGCAGGAATCTCTTGCTTTGCTCATGCTTGGATCTGGGTCACAGTTCTGAGGGGCGGTCCTGGGGTTAGAAGAAACCCTTGTGTGGTGGAGCTTATTGTGGTAGTGGAGAGGAAACACCTCGCCCCTTATTATACCACCTTGGAAGAATTGAAAATTTACAGGTCCCTAGAAGTATCTCTGAAAACAGCTGTACAAACCCCCAAAGCTTGTGACAGTACATTCTCCACATTGGAAACAGACTCTTACCTTAACAAAGAGTTTAAAACTCAAGTAATTGGTTGGGATCATGAGCAAGCAGTGCAAAAAGAGTCAGACTATATTATCTTACTTTGGTGACAAAGAAGATCAAAACATACAACCAGAAGAAGAAAACAAAGTTAAAGCTCCTACATCCAAAACTTCCAAGAAAAATATGAATCAGTCCCAGGCCTTGGAAGAGCTCAAAAGGGATTTTGAGAAGCAAGTAAGAGAAGTAGAGGAAAAACTGGGAAGAGAAATGAGAGTGATGCAAGAAAATCATGAAAAGCAAATTAACAGCTTGCTAAAGGAGACCCAAAAAAATACTGAAGAAAATAACACCTTAAAAAATAGCCTAACCAAAATGGCAAAAGAGGTCCAAAAAAACAATGAAGAGAAGAATGACCTAAAGAGCAAAATTGGCCAAATGGAAAAGGAAGTCCAAGAGATTACTGAAGAAAATACTTCCTTAAAAATTAGAATAGAGCAATTGGAAGCTAGTGACTTTATGAGAAATCAAGACACTGTAAAACAAATCCAAAAGAATGAAAAATTAGAAAATAATGTGAAATATCTCGTTGGAAAAACAACTGACCTGGAAAATAGATCCAGAAGAGAGAATTTAAAACTTATTGGACTATCTGAAAGCCATGATCAAAAAAAGAACCCAGACCTCATCTTTCAAGAAATTATCCAGGAAAACTGTCCTGACATTTTAGAACCAGAGGGCAAAATAGAAATTGAAAGAATCCACTGATCTCCTCCTGAAAGAAATCCCCGAAGGAAAACTCCCAGGAATATTGTAGCCAAATTCCAGAGTTCCCAGGTCAAGGAGAAAATATTACAAGCAGCCAGAAAGAAACAATTCAAGTATTGTGGAAACACAATCAGGATAACACAAGATTTAGCTGCTTCTACATCAAGGGACTGCAGGGCATGGAATATAATACTCCAGAGGGCAAAGGAGATAGGATTACAACCAAGAATCACCTACCCAGCAAAACTGAGCATAATTCTTCAGGGGAAAAAATGGTCATTCAGTGAAATAGAGGACTTTCAAGCATTCTTGATGAAAACACCAGAGCTGAATAGAAAATTTGACTTTCCAATACAAGACTCAAGTGGAACATGAAGAGGTAAACAGGAAAGAGAAATCATAAGAGACTTATTAAGGTTGAACTGTTTACATTCCTGCATGGAAAGATGATATCTGTAACTCATGAGACCTTTGTCAGTATTAGGGTAGTTGGAGGGAAAAAATTATACTTATGTATATATAGACAGATAGATAGATAGATGGATAGATAGATAAATAGATAGATAGAGGGCACAGGGTGAGTTGAAGATGAAGGGGTCATATCTGGAGAATAAAATTAAGGGGTGAGAGAAGATTATACTAGGAGAAGGAGAAAGGGAAAGGTAGAACGGGGTAAATTATCTCACAAAAAAAAGAAAAGAAAAGGCTGTTACAGTGGAGCAGAACTGGGGGAAGGTGAGAGGAAATGAGTGAATCTTATTCTCATAGAATTTGACTTGAGGAGGGTATAACATACACACTCAATTGGGTATGGAAATCTGTCTTACCCTACAGGAAAATAGGAGGGGAAGGGGACAAGAGAACAGGGGGATGATAAGAGAGGAAGGCAGATTGGGAAAGAGGGGTAATCAGAAGCAAATACTTCTGAGGAGGGATAGGGTCAAAAGAAAGAATAGAATAAATGGGGGGTCGGGATAGGATTAAGGGAAATAGAGTTAGTTTTTCACAGCATGTCTACTATGGCAGCGTTTTGCATAACTGCACATGTATAGCCTATATTGAGTTGCTTGCCTTTTCACTGAGGGTGGGTGGGGAGGGAGGAAGGGAGAAAATTTGGAACCCAAAGTTTAAAAAACTGAAAATTTAAAAAATTGAAAGTTTAAAAAACTCATGAATTATCACAGTCTCATAGCATTTGACCATTTAACAGAAACATGCAAGACTGTTTCAAGAGGTGCTCACAGCTGAAAATATCAGCTGTTGCTGAAGTAAGAACCACAGGAGTGAGGGGCAGCTAAGTGATGCAGTGGATAGAGCTCTGGCCATCAAGTCAGGCAGACCTGAGTTCAAATCCAGACTCTGACACTCACTAGCTGTGTGACCCTGGGTGAGTCACTTAACCTCGATTGCTTAAAAAAAAAAAAGAACCAAAGGAGGAAAGTTTTAGCTAGTCAAAAATTCAGCAAAGGAGGGAGAGTGGTAGTAGCAATAATAGTTTTTCCATAACACTCCAATGTTTACAAAGCATTTCTTTATAGTGTCTCTACTGAGCTAACTAGTGGGCATGTTATTGCCCCCATTTTAGAGATAAGAAAACTGAGCATTAGAAAGGTGATGTGGTTTGCCCAGGATCACAGAACTGGCAAGGTAGCAGTTGGAACTGTCTGGTCCAAGGTAGGGGTAGGAGGGGGAAAGAACATAGACACAGAATCAGAGAGAGAGACAGAGACAGTGGGGATGAGGGAGTGAGAAGGAAGAGGAAAGAAGAGAGGAGAGGAAGGAGAGGAGAAGAGAGAAGAGAAGAGAAGAGAGAAGAGGGGAGAGAAAACAAGAGAGGAGAAGAGAAGAGAAGAGGGGAGAGAAGAGAAGGGCAGAGGAGAGGACAGATGTAGATAAAGATATATATATATGTATGTATATATGTATATATAGGTTTAAATATAGATAAAGACACAGATTTAGCTATCGAGAGAGACAGAGCTAGAACTAGAGATAGAGATAGAGATGATAGAGATAACTTATTGCGTCCAGATCCTATGATTTCATCTGTGTAATAACCTTCCTGGTTAAGAAAAATCCTCTATCAATGCAGATCAGCAACTGTGTTAAATTTCAAATCTTAAAAAGTTACTGGGGGCATTGAAAGGGTCACCCAGATGGCTTAGTGGATAGAGCCCTGGCCCTGGAGTCAGGAAGACTCCAGGAAGACTCCCGAGTTCAAATCCAACCTCAGAGATGTGCTAGCTGTGTAACCTTGGGCAGGTCACTTAAGCTTGGTCTGCCTCAGTTTCCTCAACTGTAAAATGGGGATAATAATAGCACCTATCTCTCAGGGTTATTATAAGGGTCAAATGATATAATACTTGTTTTAAAAAAAAGGCAATTACAATACCTGGTATGTAGTAACTGCTATATAAATGTTAGCTATTATTATAATTACATGTCTATGGTCTCACAGCCAATAGGTTTCAGAGGTGCCACCTTCCTGACTCCAATATAGATAAAGAGACAGAGATGAAAATAGAGATAGATCATATAACATAATAAATAATTTTGATTTTCATTGGTAGAAAGGGGCTCTGTATCAGGAGCTCTTTAGAATTAGAGATCTTTTCTGCACGCATGTGTCTTTATATAAAAAAGCATTTCTCAAACCCCTACTAGGTGTTAGGGACTGTGTAAGGCTGAAAGGTGGCTTAGTGGATAAAGTTCTGAGCCTCAGAATCAGGAAGACCTGAGTTCCATTCTGACCTGAGACACTTACCAGATGTGTCATCCTAGGCAAGTCACTTGACTGCTGTATGCCTCAGTTTGCTCATCTATAAGATGGAAATATCAATGTTAGAGCTATTATACATGTATACATGTAGGTAGCCATTTATAGAGAGGCCTGAGAAAGACAGTCTAGCAACTAGTAGCAGTTTCTAGTTCTAAGAGTATTATGCCCAATTGTAGCCCGGGGAAGCTTCTAAATGAACCTTTTTATTCCCTGAAGACTTCAGGTTAGGTATCACTTCACCATTCACAGAATCTTAGAATTTTAGGGAGTTCTAGATCTGAATCTTTGCTGAAACAACAGAGTAATAAGTAAAATGACCTCAAGGCTTTGCTGAGACTGTGTTGAGGGCATAGACGGCCATACTGACAGATAGCCCTACCAATGGTTGGCTGGCTTGCCAATAGGTCCACAGGTCCTGAAGGGCTTTGTCTTATAGCCTCATTGAAAGCCAGCTGCCCTTGGCTGCAAAGACCAGAGCCCCTTAAATAAGAATTCCTGTCATCCACTTTATGGCCAGTAATTCCTGAAGGGGCTAGGGTATCTGGTGGCCAAGATGCTCAAAGAAGTGAGGGGTGGGATGTTCCGGTTGTCTTCGTCCCTAGTTAGGCTGATGGGTCCAGGATGCCTGGATCCCTTCCAGGCAGATTGGGGGAGTATTAGGACTCTTGTGGGTGAAGGCAGTGTGCTGGGGGATCAAGACCCCTGGGTCACTGAGTAAAGATTTACACCTGGGTGCAAGAGCACAGTGAAGCCTAGGGGTCACGTGGGAGGGGAAAAACTCCAGCGTTTCTGTGGGGAGTGGGGCGAGGCATGGGTAGGGAGGGGGTCAGGATGCATGGGTTCTTGTAGGGCGGGGATGGCCAGGACGGGGGCTAGAGGTCGAGTTTGGATCGTTGCCAGCGTGGGGCCTAGAACACCTGACCTCTTGACAGTGCGGGGTCTGCAGGTCAGGACTCCTGGGTCCTTGTTGGAAGAGAAGAGGGGTGGGATGCTTGGGTCTCTGCGTTGTAGGCTCTAGGGGACCGGATGTTTGCCTTCTGGTGCGGGCGGGGGCGGCTGGTGGGCAAGATGCCTGGGTCCCGACGGGGGCGGGGGTGAGGGAACTGGGGATTCGGAAGGGGGGTGGGCAGAACCGCAGTAACAAAGGCCTCTCCATCCGTCAGGCAGCGCCCCCCCCTCTGCCCCGCCCAGCGGCCCCCCGCATCCCCTGATTGGCCGGTCCCCCTGCCCGTCAGCGCCGCCCCCTCCCCGGGTCTGCAGCAGGGCTCTCGCCGGCTCCTCGCGCCCCCCCCCCGCCCGGTGCCGCAGGCGGGGAGCCCCCCTCCCCCTCCCCCTTCCCCCCCGGGCCCCGCGCGCCCCGGACCGGCCCCCCTTTCCCCCTCCCGCCCCCTGCGCGCCGCCATGCCCCCCCCCGCCCCCCGGGCCCGGCTCCGGCTCCTCGCCGCCGCCGCCCTGGCCGGGCTGGCCGTCATCAGCCGAGGTACTGCAGCGCTGGGGCCGGGGGGCGGGGAGGCTGGAAGCTTGGGTCCCTGCGGGAGGCGAGGAATCAGGACGCCTGGGTTCTTGGCAGCTAAGAGGTTATCATTGGGTTCTAGAGTTGGAAGTGACCTTAGTGATGTGTCTGGGGGGGGGATGGATGCTTGGGTCTTGGTGGGGGGCGGGGAGGGGCACTGGGGGATCAAGACGCTAGGGTCCCTCCTGGGGGTGGAGGCTGGACGCTGGGATAGCAGAGGGGAGGGCTCGGGGAGGACTGCTGAGTCTCTAGGGGCTTCCAGAGATCGGTCAGGGGGTGCCAGTCCCCAGGGGTTCTGGGGGCCTCGGCCGCCTGCCTGGATCCCAGCCGGATGAGAGCAGAGAAGGGGACAGGCGGGAGTGGGGTGGGGTGAGGGGCGGAGGGGGGCAGAAACCTGAGTCCTGAAGCTGGCTGGACGGGAGAGAAAGGGATGAGAGCAGGAGATTGAAGAAAATGGTTTCATCGGCCTTGGGGCGAGGGGTTCAAATAAGTGGAGTGTAGAGGGTTGCGGTGGAATAGGGAAGAAGGTGAAATAGATCATTTAGGTCTATTTCAGTGGGGCAGTGGGACTTGGAGGCCAGACCACGGCGCGGGCGGGGGCGGGGGGGGGCGATGAGAATAACTGTGCTGGAGGCTCAGGTGCCTATGTCCCTGAGGAGGGTGGGTGCTGAAGGTTGGGGTCGTCTGGCTCATTGAGGGGGTAAATAGAGGCTAAGGTGCCGGTGGGATAGAGAACAGGGGCAGGGCAGTGGATCAACCAGGTGTCTGAATGATTGGGATGGCTATGGGGACGAAGGGGGATGGGAAGGAGGGCCAGTGCTGGCAGCGATTTCTCGGGCTCCTGCCGGAAAGGTTAATGGACTGAAGAGATGCTGGACTAATTAAGTTTCCCTGGGCCAGGCCTACCTGGGGCAGAGGCTTCTCCCAGTAAGAAAGGGGTTAAGGGGGTCTAGGCCCAGCTGACCTCTGGCTCCCAAAGGAGATTCTCCCATGGTCAGAGATCCGGCCATCTCCTCCAGCCAGGCTGGAGGGCAGGGGAAAGGGAGAGGCGGGGTGGAAAGGACCAAAGCTTTGCCCTGCCTTGCCTACCTGTCTGAACCTGGTTCTCTAACTTCCCCCTCTGTAGTCTTGGCTTTGTCTCTGGCTCTTTCTGCGTCTCTGTTTCTCAGTTTCATCCGACTGTCTCTGTCTCTCTTTGAATCTTCCCTATTTCATATAACTCTCCATCTCTCCACTTCTTTTCTTACTTTTCCATCTATCCTTCTGTTTTGTTCATTTCTTCTCTACTTACTGTGTCTATATCTCATTCTCTCTAATCTTTTAGTGGTCTCTATGTGTCTCTTCATGTCATCCTATTCTTTGTGTATGTTTCTGAATGATGTCTTCTCTTTACCTGTCTCCACATCTCTCTCTGTCTCTGTCTCTGTCTCTTTCTTTTTCTTTCTCTCTCCTGTCTGTCTATTTCTATTTGTCTGTCTATCTCTCTGTCTCTGTCTCTCTGTCTTTCATCTCTCTTTATCTCTGTCTCTGTCTGTCTGTCTGTCTCTCTCCCTCTCCTGTCTATTTCTGTCTGTCTCTGTCTCTCTGTCTCTATCTATCTGTCTGCCTCTGTCTCTGTCTCATCTCTCTTTATCTCTCTCTCTCTCTGCATGTGTGTGTGTGTGTGTGTGTGTGTGTGTGTGTGTGTGCATGCGTCTCTTTCATGGCTTCTTTCTCTCCATTTTTGTCATTTGCCTCTGTTTTTAAAATATCTCCAGGTCTCTCTCCCTCTTACTAAGTTTCCTTCATGTTTTCTCTATCTGTTTTTCTGTTTCTCTCTGAGTGTTCGTATTTCTGCACTTGTTTCCCTCAGCATCTTTCCCTCCTCTGCCCATCACTTCCAATTCTAAGACCCTCCCTATGTATTTTCCTCCTCAATATCCATCTCTTTTTCAGCTCTTTTTCTATCTCATCTCTGAGTCTCTGAATCTTTCTCTTTTTGTTATTCTGTCTGTATCTGGGTCTCTTGTTAAAATTCTGTTTCAGTATTTTTCCATGTCTGTCTCCTGATCTGCTTCCCCTATTTCTCTTGGTCTCTACTCTGGCTTCCCTACTGTTTAGTCCATTAACCAGGATAATGAAAATCTCTTAGCAAATGGACTGGAAATCATTGACCTAGGTTTCAGTCCCAGCTCTCTCACTAATTCCGTATGACCTTGGGAAAGTCATTTCCCTTCTTTAAGTCTGTTTTCCAACTGTCTAATGAGAGGGTTAGACTAGGTGGTTTCTGATATCCCTCTCAGTACTGACATTCTTTGTTCTAGGTTTTCAAGTTCATTCAGCTCTGACATTCTGCATTCTATGTTCTGAGATCCCATTTGCCCTTAACATCCTCTGTTTTATGCTCTAAAGTTACTTCTGAGTCTGATGTTCTATATTCTTTCCCTTCCAGGAGAAAGAATATATCACTTTCTGTTCTGAGTTCTCAAGGTGCTTTCACCTTCAATATTCTATAACTAAGAAATTTCCTAGTTCTGATATTTTGTTTTAAGTTTCCTCTCAGCTCTGACAACTTCCATCCTGTTTTCTTACTTCAGTCCTAATCTAATGTTCTCTATTCTAGGTTCAAAAGTTCCTTCCAACTCTGGCAATCTTCATTCTGTTTCCTTAGATCAATTCTACTCTAACATTCTCTGTTCTAGACATCCTCCATCCTGTTTCCTTAGATCAATTCTATCATAACATCCTCTGTTCTAATTTCAAAATTTCCTTCTGACTCTGACATTCTTCATTCATAAAGTCTGTTCCAACTTTGACATTCTCAGGTTCCTTCCAACTCTAACCTTTCAATGTTATAAAGAACTTTTAATGTTTTAACACCTCTTCTAGCTCTGACATTTCACATTTTAAAGTCACTCAAAGTTCTGACATTCTATGTGTGGTGATCACCTCCTTCTTTCATACTCTCTATTCTAGATTCTAAAGTGTCTTTCAACTCTAACCTTCTCCATTCAGAAAGTCCTTTTCTACTCTGACATTCTCTGTTCTAAGTTCTGGGGACCCTCCCAACTCTGATGTTTTACCCTAAGGTCCCTGTCAGCTCTGACATTCTCTGTTCTAAGTTCTGGGGACCATCCCAGATCTGATGTTTTACCCTAAGGTCCCTCTCAGCTCTGATATTCTCTGTTCTAAGTTCTGGGGACCATCCCAGATCTAATGTTCTATGCTAAGGTCCCTCTCAGCTCTGACACTCTGGTTTAGGCTGATTCCTCCTTTCACAGTGTTCTTGAAGAAGGCGTGGAGGACAGGGCATTGAGTTGCCACTGGGGTGAGGGCCAACTCAGACACTTTATGTTCTGTATTTTAAGAACCTTTCCAGCCCTGATGGAGATGTTCTCAGTTTCAATGGCTTTTGTGGCTCTGCCTGTGGGATTCTCAGACCCTTCCTGCTCCTTCCCCACATCCTGAGCTCCTATTCAGGCAATGGCTGCCCCAGCAGCAAGAAGCCCCTTCTGCTCCCACCCCTTCCACCTCCTCTAGCGGAACTCACCTTTCCCTGGGGAGAGCAGAGCCAGGGCTGAGGTCTGAAAACAGACGACCTTAGAATAGCAGACGACCTGCCTCCTGTCTCTTGGCAGACACCACTGAGGTGAGAAGGTTTTGTGCCGGATTGTTCACTTGCCTGTTTGGGGACCTCAGGAAGCAATGAAAGGACTGAGCTTCCTTCCGAAGATGCTTGGCTGGAGGAGACATCTGGGCTGCTGGGGCCGTAGGAGTCAGCCCCATAGCATCCGCTTGAAGCAAGTGATGCTTGTACTTGATGAAGAGAGAGAAATGGGCCCCACCTAAACAAGTCTCAGGTTCACATTGAGATGGTAGATAACTTCCGAAACTGGCACCCTGAATGATCATCTTCCCCACTCAGGATAAAAACTCCAGTATGTCATTCCCTTTCTCCCATGGAATAAACTGCATCACCTATCTCCTGTAGAATAATGTCCATCCTCTTGCCATAATTCCAGCCAGTAATTAATCCATGAGTCTGGCTCTGAGGAGTCTGCACAGCAGGGTCCCTGTAGGTACGTCCAGTCCTTGAAAGGGGTGTTCTGGGGGCCCTAGAGAGCTAGGAGTGTGTGTGTGTATGTGTGTGTGTTTCCATACCCCACACCCTTCTCCCATTTCCATGTGCTAACTCCTGCCAAATCCTTGTAACATGGTTTTTATGTTGTTGTTCAATCAAGTCCAACTCTACGTGACCCTGTGGACTTTTGTCCATGGAGTTTTGTCCATGGAGTTTTCTTGGCAAAAGCACTGGAATGGAATGTTATTTTCTTCTTCAGTGTGTCCCCATTTTACAGATGAGGAACTGAGACAAAAATAGGGGTTAAGTGACTTGTCCAAGGTCACACAGCTTGTAAGTATCTAAGGCCAGATTAGAACTCAGGTCCTAGTTAATAAGATTGAGAGCTGAAGCTCAGAATAGCAGAGCCGGGAGGAACATTAGACCTCATTAGTCCAAGCTTCCTCCCCTCCCTTCACAACTTTCCTTCTGTGGTTCTCTCCAATCATCTTCTTATTCCTTCCTCTCTTCAGCTCATTACTTCACTTTGTGGTAGTTCAACCTGTTGGCTTGTTTCCATCCCTCCCACTGTATTGTATTGTAGTACCCCTCCCCAAAGGAGGACTTTTAATGAATATACCTGGCAGTGGAAGTGGGACTTTGAATCAGGGCTGTGTGTGTGTGTGTGTGTGTGTGTGTGAGAGAGAGAGAGAGAGAGACAGAGAGAGACAGAGAGAGACAGAGAGAGACAGAGAGAGACAGAGAGACAGAGAGAGACAGAGAGAAGAAGAAGAAGGAGGAGGAGGAGGAGGAGGAAAGAGAGAGAGAAGGAGGAGGAAGAGGAGGAAGAGAGAGAGGGTGGGGGAGAAAGAGACTCTGGAAGAAAACTTCATTTCAAATAGTTTGTGATTACCAGTTCATGTGTATATGTATCTAAAGATCTGTGTGTCTCTACATAGGAGACAGTGTGTCTTTGTGACTTTGTGTCTATATGTCTATTGTTTGTCTATATGTGTCTGCTCTTGTTTCTTCGTGTTTTTGCATGAGACTGTATATCTTTATGACTGTCTGTTTCTTTATATATCCATGTATTTGTCTGTGGAGCTCTATATTTATTATTTGTGTGTCTTTATTGGTATGTCTGTGTGCACATCTGTGTCTATCTCCGTCTGTTTCTGATTCTGTTTTTTTTTTCTTCCTAGAAGTGTTTGACTTTGTATCTCTATATTTGTGTGTGTGTGTGTGTGTGTGTGTGTGTGTGTGTGTGTCCTTGGGACTATGTGTCTGCTTGTTTGTATATCGGTGTGTCTGAGACTTTCGTCCTTGTATATATGTCTAGATGCCTGTGTGTGACTGTGTGTCCATCTGTGTTTCCCTTTCTGTATGTGAGAGTGAGTGAGTGTCAGCATACTGAAATCAAAGCTCTATAGGATCTAAACTGGGAGAGCAAGGAGGATCATTGCTCCGGGGTCTGGGGCAGGGGAGTTGGAGCCTATAGTGGAGACGTGTTGGAGACAGTATGTGACTGTGTCCCTGTGCCTTACTATGTCACTGACCTATGACTGTGTGTCTCAAAGTTACCCTCCTTCTCAGTGTGGCTTGCTGTCCCTGACTCGGTGTCTATTTTGACTGGATAGAATATTCTGAACAGTGGAGAAAGTCATAAGGAGGGCAGGAGTGGGGTTGGTAAAAGCTGCCTGTCCCGGGGGGGTGGGTGGGTTCTATTATTTTGTGGTGGTTTGCCTTTGTGTGTGTCAGTATCTCATAGGGACAGCAACTTCACTCAATTTCTTTCCCTGGTGTCCCTTAAATACAGGAAAGACTTGGGGGTGGAGCAGGGTGACAAGAGGCAGGGGAATAGATGTGATCTCAGATAAACTCTAGGATGGGGCACCTGTTCCCCATCCATCCACTGCAAACACATACACATATACCCAGAGTTTAGGAATGGAAGACTCTAAGAGCCGGGGGGGGGGGCAGCCTTGGAGTTGTCTGGTAGCAATTATCCCGAGATAAAAAGGGACCTTGGTTAATTAGTTTCTCCCCTCCCTCTCTTCATATTGCCTGCTGGGAGATTTGGCCAGGATCTTTTCCCACTTCCTTCCATCAGTGGTTCCAGGGTATTTTGTGATCCAATTCAGGCAATTGAATCCCTCCCTGTCTCAACATTTTTGTCTCTTGACATCACTGTATCTATGTCTCTGTTACTGTCTCTCTGTCTCTCTTTTTGTCTCTCTGCCCCATTCTCTCTGAATCTTCCTGTGCCAGGGGAGTTTGCCAGCCATAACCCACTAGAAAAAGGGATGACAAGGGCTGGCTTGTGCTTGTGTTTACAATGTCACAGGGCACCACAGATTGTGTGGGTGACATGCCAGCTCTGGCCCAGGTTTTGTGCTTGTAGGGGATGGGATGGAGATCATGTGCCCCACCCCTCCCCCTCTCTGCAGGGTTGCTGTCCCAGAGCCTGGAGTTCAGCTCTCTGGCAGACAACTACACAGTTTGCGAGGGAGACAACGCCACACTCAGGTACAGCCAAGACCCTCCCTATGCACCCCCATCCCTCTCTCCCTGATGGCCCCCTCAACCCAAGGTCCCCTCACTCGAGGTAGGGGCCCCATTCCCTCCCCCAGGGATCTCCCCCCCCCCAGGGTCCCCAGCCCCCTCCCCACGGGGCCCGGTGCCCAAGCCGGTGCCAGCCAGAGCCTCCCCCGTGGCCGCAGCTGCTCCATCGATGAGCACGTGACCCGCGTGGCCTGGCTGAACCGCTCCAACATCCTGTACGCCGGCAATGACCGCTGGACCAGCGACCCGCGGGTGCGGCTGCTCACCAACTCTCCCGCAGAGTTCTCCATCCTCATCACCCGCGTGGGCCTGGGCGACGAGGGCCTCTACACCTGCTCCTTCCAGACCCGGCAGCAGCCGCACACGGCCCAGGTCTACCTCATCGTGCACGGTAAGAAGCACAGGCCGGCTGCCCCAGCGAGAGGCCGGCACCGGGCACAGATCAGGGACCCAGGAGAGACGGGGGAGGGCAGGCACTGAGGGGTGGGGACAGAAACAGAGACCCAGGCAGAGACACCAATAGGAGCATGGACCTCGAGAGGGGCAGAAACTCCAGCACAGGGAGAGAAGAGAGGAGAGGAAACATGAAGGGAAAGAGAGATAGAAGAGAGGGAGGAGGAAAAGGGAAAGGGAGGAGAGAGGAGGAGGAAGAGGGAGTAGAAATGAAAGAGAGAGAAGAGGAGGGAGGGGGGAGAGAGAGAGAGAAAAAAAGAAGGAGGAGGAGGAGAGGAGAAGAGAGGCAAAGTTAGGTGGGGGGTGGAGAGATGGAGACCCAAAAACCGAAAAAAGAACAGAGCCCCAGAGGCATACAGAAACAAGGCCACAGACAGCCACGGCCACCAAGGAGTGAAAGGCGTGGCTCCAGAGACCCAGAGACAGAGCTAAGGCTGAAGAGGCCCGGAGTGCTGTCCTACTCCTGTCCTGCTGTGTTACCAAAAGCCCCAGGGGAAGGAGGAACACAAACCAAGACAGAAACAGAGACAATATAGTCTCTCAGAAGTCGAGTCTCTCAAGGGAGAGACAGAAAAAGGGCCTAAGAGCCAGAACCGTACAAAGAGAAAAAGCATAGGAAGACAGCAGTGGACAGAGAGCAGAGAGGCAGAGACAGAATCAAAGAAAGATATACAGACTACCAAAGAAAATGCTGAGGCAGGCTTTTCTGCCCCAGCCCCACCTCCTCAGGGTTCCATAGCAGCTAATATCATGGACTATTGCACCTTCATCATCCATCCCCATCCTAAGAGGCAGGAATTAGAAGTCTGGGTCTCTGAGGGATAAGGCTGGGGGGAGGATGCCTGGGTCCCTTAGGGGCAAGGATTGAAAACTGGGATATTGGGGTTCTTGAGGGAGACGAGGCAGGAGGATCAGGGTGCTTAGCCTGCTTTAGTAGGCAAGGCTAGGGTATTATGTGTTTGGATTACTGAAAGGAAAAGAAACTGGAAGAAAAAATGCCTGGGTCCCTGGTGGGAGTTGGGGGGTGGAAAGGGGTTTAGGAGTCCAGGATTCCCAGAATCCTCTGGGGGGGGAGGAGGGTACTAGCAGTTCAAGATGTCTAAAGGGGGTCAGAGATGTGGGATCAGGAAACCTGGGACCCTCAGAGAGGAAAAGCTGGAGGATCCTGACCTCTGGGTCACCTTCTGCTCCCGCTTTCCCCCATCTTTCTTCAGTCCCTGCCCGAATCGTGAACATCTCCTCTGCTGTGACAGTGAATGAGGGTGGGAACGTGAACCTGCTCTGCCTGGCTGTGGGCAGGCCAGAGCCCACAGTCACTTGGAGACAGCTCCGAGGTGAGGGGCCCCACTCCTGCCTGCCTGATGCCGCACCCTAGGTCCTATGTTCCCATCTCAACCCCCAACCTTTCCTCCCAGGCCCTGCACTGCTGCACTTGTTATACTCCAGACCCTCCCCAAATTCCTTAAATCCTAACTCCCAGACCATGAAAGATCCCTATCATGCCCCAAATCATGCATGTGTGGGAAACTCATCTTTTACTCCAAGACCACAGTCATAGAGCTTAAACTCCCAGAATCAGAATGCATTGAGCCTCAGGAAGCATCCAGTCCAACCATTTCCCAGAGGAGAATCCTGCATCTCTTGGACACCTCCAGTGATGGGGAGCTCACTGCCTTTCTACCCTTAATAGTAGAATCTCAGAGATAAAAGGGATCTCAGAGTCCACTGTAGGGGCAGTTGCTGGCCCTGGATAGGGCACTGGGCCTGGGTCAGGAAGACCCAAATTCAAATTTGGCCTTAAATACGTGCTAGCTGTGTCACCCTGGGCAAGTCACATAACTCTTGTTGTCCTGTTTCATCAACTATAGAACAGAGATAATAAAAGCACCTGCCTCAAATGGTGCTTGTGAGAAGCAAATGAGATATTATCTATGAGAGTGCTCAGCATAGTACCTGGCACATGGTAGGTACTATATAAATATTCATTCTGTTCTCTTCCCTTCCCATCTAATCCAACCCACTCCTGAATGGGAATCCCTTCTCCAACATCCTCAGCAAATGGTCATCCTACCATTGCTTGGAGACTTCAAATGATGGGGAACCCATTATAGTACTGTCCCAAATATCTGTTCATCATTTTAGCAGCCTTGGAAATCAGAAATGGGAGAGACCATGAAATATGTAATGTCAGAACTGGGAGAGATCTTACAACGTAAAATGTCAAAGACAGAAGAGAGTTCAAATCCCATCTCTGACACTACCTTATGACCTTGGTCGATCACAACTTCCCTTGGCCTTAAAATAGACTAGACTTAGTAGCTTCTGAGGCCCCTTTGAGCTCTATATCCATGAGCTTTTGAGCACTCAGGAGGTTCAAAGCCCTCTGGTAGGTACTGGTAATATGTGTAACAACAGATAAGAGCATGGGCCCTGCCCTCCAATTGGCAATCCAACAGATGAGAGAGATATGCACACCAAGAAGTGATACAAAGGAGAATGAGATGAGGGCAAAGGGCAGATCCAAAGAATGTTATAAGAAATTTGAGGGGAGAGAGATATATTTCACTGTGGGAGAAGGGTATTAGGAAAGGTTTCATAGAGGAGATGCTGTCTGACCTGGAACTTTAAGGAAGGAAGAAACTTCAATAGATATCTAGATAGGGAACTGAGAGAGGATCTTCCAGACATGGAGGAAGTACATGGAGGGAGTGGGATGAGATAAAGCAGGGAAGGTATAGTTGCAACCCGTATTGTGGAGGGCCATTGAATGTCAATATTGAGACTGTACTCAACAGGAAATAGGAAGCTCTGAGCACTTTTGAGTAGGGGAACAGCAGGGTTACAACAGGAACCAGTGTAGAGGAAGGAGGTGGGGCTGGATACAAGAAGATGGCTTTACATGCTATTACAGAAGCCCGAACAAGGGGCAAAGAGAGCCTTCACCCCTCAGGATGATGACCAGGTAAGTGGAGACAAGGGGACAAATGCACGTGATGCAATTGTAGTAGGATGGTTAATACTTGATAACTGATTGGATTTGGGAAGGCAAGGAAGAGGAAGGTACCCAGGGTGGCCCTAAGGTTTCCACCTTGGAGAGTAGGAGAATGGGGTGCCCTGAAGGAAAAAGTATCACAGTTACCCAGAGTTGGAAAGGACCTGAAAAGGGCATTTAATTCAACACATACTTAAAAAGGGATTGCCTCTGCAATGTCCCTGATAGGTGGTCCATTGGGCAATTCCCACCCTTCCCTGTGGGTCTCAAGTTCATTACCTAAGGGCCTGCCCAGATCCAACAGTCTGTGATTCTAGGATGAATTAGCTATAGTCTTCTCCAGCCCATCAGTCATGCATTAAATATTTACTGGCTAGGATCATGGAATAAGAGACTGGAAACCACAGAAGCCATCCAGTCCCACCTATACCTGAGCACAAATCCCTCTGTCCACATCCAGTCAGTGCTTAGCAAAAAGCCCAGTGCCTGGCAAGGTGCTCTGCACCTAGATAGGTACTTAATCCATTTTTGTTGAGTTGAAGATCCCAGGATGATGGTGGCCATACACTCTTCATTTGAAGGCCTCCACTGATGGGGAACTCACTGCACCAGGCATCCCATTCCCTTTGGGAGAGCTCTGATTGTTAGGAAATGTACCCTTGTGTCAAACCAAAATTTGATCTCTGATCCCTAGACCTCCCACCTATGGTGGGAGAAACCCCAGGTACCCAACCTATTGAATTCAACTCAGCAAAATTTGATTAAGCAGAATCTGTCTTTTGTGATCCACACTGGAAGAGAAAAGAGAGCTTCAATGTAAACTATTCTCTCAAATCTAATAGCTGTGAGGTAATTGTTGGGTCTCACTTCTTTGGACCTTAAAACAGAATACTAGAGCCTTAGAATATGGTTCCACATTCCTAAGGTGGAAAGAATCACAGAACATAAAACGGCAGGGCTGGGAATAATCATAGGAAAAAGAAAAAACTGGAAGGCTCCTTAGAACTTAGACTATCAGACCACGGAGGAATCTTAGGGGGAAAAGGAGAATAAAATCCCACCAATAACTTTAATAACAGCTGAACACTCCAAGGATCTATGATTTCCCTTAGCTGCTAAGATTATCAGTCATAATGATGGCTAGCATTTGCATGGTCCTTTTAAGGTTTTTAAAGCACTTTATAAATATGATCCTGACAGCAACTCTGGTGGGCTATAGGTGCTATTATTACCCCCATTTTACAGATTAGGAAACTGAGGCAGACAGTAGTGCAGTGACTTGCCCAGGGTCAGACAGCTAAGAAGTGTCTGGGGCTATATGTGACTTCAGCTCTTCCTGACTACAAACCCAGCATTCTATCCATGTACCACCCAGGTGCCTCAAAGGTTAAGTGACTTGTGTATGGTCACACAGCTAGTCTGGTTGGGAGGCAAGACTTAAACCCAAGTCTTCCTGACTCTAAGGACTGGCTCTCTATTCACTATTATATACTGCATCTCACATGAAACCATAAGGTTTGTAAGATACAGTACAAGTTTTTTCCTATTTGATTTTTAGAACAGAGAATGTCGGAGCTGGGAGGGAGCTTAGAGCAAAGAATGTCAGAACTATAAAGCTCCTTAGAACACCGAATGTCAGAAGTAGGAGGGACCCCAGAATATGCAATGTCAGAACTGGAAGAGTTCTTAGAACAGACTGTGAGATCTGGCAGAGAGCTTAGAACAAAGACTGTCAGATCCTCAGATCCAGGTCGGTGCTTTGAACTTGAAATGTCAGAACTGGATGGGTTCTTAGAACACAGCCCACAGAATGCTTGAGCTGGGAGGACCTTTATGATCAATATTCAAAGAGCACATAGCTCCAAGAAGTCTGAGTCATTTACCGGAGACTTCTGGCTCTGATACCTGGGCACTAGGCCCAGAGCCCCTTGAAATCTCTCTGAGCCTTGCAGTCCCCAGGCCACTTCCCCATCACCATATTCTCTAGATCCCCAGACGTACCCTCCCTGACTCTTCGGACCCCGTGTCTTCTCCACCTAGGCGATTACCGAAGTCTCTGACCCCAGTACCTCAATTCGTAGACAACGTCCTCTCCCACTCATTGATTCCCGGACCCCAGGGTCCCCAGCCCCTGTTTGCCCCCTCCATCCGCTGTGCCCCTGCTGATGTGTGTCCGTGTTGTACCCGTGTCGTCCCGTGTTTAAGTGTGTTTGTGTACGCCCTGCCCCCTCCTCCCTCAGACGGCTTCACATCGGAGGGTGAGATCCTGGAAATCTCGGACATCAGGCGAAGTCAGGCCGGGGACTACGAGTGCGTGACCCACAATGGCGTGGCGTCGGCCCCCGACAGCCGCCGCGTGCCCGTCACTGTCAACTGTGAGCCCCTTGTCGCCCTTGTCCCCAAAGAGGAAGGGCTAGGGGGAAGGCAAGAAGCCTGAGTCCCCAAGGGGAGGGGGCTGGCGTCTGGACTCTGGGGTCCCCGAAGGCGCGGGCTTGAGGGAGGGACGCCTGGGTCCCTGAACTGGCAGGTCTGGGGTTGCGGTGGAAAACAGCTAGCCTGGGAGTCGGGAGAGTGCGAAGTCAGAACGGCTTATCCAGCCCCGTCCCCTACTCTGCCTCAGACCCTCCGACCATCACCGATGTGACGAGCGCGCGGACAGCAGTGGGGCGCACTGCGCTGCTCCGCTGTGAGGCTATGGCCGTGCCCCCCGCAGACTTCCAGTGGTTCAAAGACGACAAACAGTAAGAATGGACGGAATGGGGCGAGGCCTTCTAGGGGGTGGGTCCCCAAGTGACGAAGGGAGGGATGGCCAGGTGAGGGGAGTGGAGTGAGGATTACCGAGGGCTGGACTTGCGTCGTGGGTCGGGATGCGAAGGATTTGGGCTTCTTCTGGGGCTCAGAGAGAGGGATGGGGGCAGAGACAGGGCAGGAGGGAGTGCTCCTGGTGGGCAGGGTGGGGAGAGGTAAGTTGTGAACTGCCAGACACTGAGATAATCCTTCTCTAGGCTGGGGGAGATTAAACATATGGGTGCCAGTTCCTCCACCTCAGCAGAGGGAATGTAGAGGTGGTGGGGTACCCAGTCCTGGGTTTGTAAAGGGGTGTGGAGGTTCAACCAAACACACACACACACACACACACACACACACACACACACACACACACACTCTGCTGCAAGGGTCTGAGGGAGGCACGGAAGGAAGGAGGGAGGGACTGACGACCTTGCCCGCAGGCTAGGGGGCGGCGCGGCTGAGGGCCTGAAGGTGCAGACTGAGAGGACCCGCTCCATGCTGCTATTCGCCAACGTGAGCGGCCGCCACTATGGGAACTACACGTGCCGAGCGGCTAACAGGCTTGGGGCTGCCAGCGCCTCCATGCGCCTTCTGCGTGAGTGCGCCCAGGCTACAGCTGGGGACAGGGGCCGAAGTCCGGGACAGAGAGCCCCAGATCTAGGAGCAGAGAGGGGAGGCAGGGGATCTGGAGAGAGAGGAAGAGGGGCACGGACGATGGGGGACAGAGGCGAGGAGCAAAAGTACAGAGGACCGAGGACAGATTAAGAAACAGTGAGACGCAGAGACAGAGACGAGAAGCCAGACCTAAAAAAAAGGAAAGAAAGAAAAGAACAAGAAATGAGTGGAAAGAGAGAAACAGGGAGACAGTCCGACAAAGACAGGGAAAGACAAAAGAAATGGCAAGACTTGGGGAGCCAGAGATGAAGAGAGGACACAAGTGGAGAAAAAAGTCAAGAATCAGGGGCCAGAGAGGACCCAGCTCATGAAAAAGACAAGCAGAGGGCAGAGGGCAAAAGGAGGAACGGTCAGAGAAAAGCAAGAAACAGCGACAAAAAAAGCAGACAGACGGGGTGGGAGGTGGGGAGAGAGGACAGAGGAGGACAGAGATATGGAGAAGCACACATCTGGAGACCGGGAGGATGGAAGGTCTGTGGTTGCAGACAAAGACAGTGAGAATGGTTCTGAGTTGGGGGAGACAGCATCCAATGCAGGGGAGCCAAGAAAATGGCCTGGGGCGGGGGTGGGGCACTGATGTGCCTCCATCCTCCTGACTTTGTTTCTCCTCCCCCTTCCCTTCTGCCTTCAGGCCCAGGCTCCCTGGAGAATGCAGCCTCACGGCCCCCTGGGCCCCTAGCCCTGCTCTCTGCCCTGGGCTGGCTGTGGTGGGGAGGCATGTAGGAGCCAAGGCTGACGGAGAGCGAGCCCTAGCAAGGGAGTGAACCAGCAGCCTGGAGAGAGAGCCAGTGAGGAAGGCCCAGAGTCCCGGGCAGAGGAGGAGGAAGAGGAGAGATCCTTAGAGAACCCATCACTGTGAGGGATAAACGCAAAATTATGCATCGTTTCTACAGCCATTGTCACCCGTTCATGTGTCTGACTGTACCCCAGTTGCCCCTGACCCCCTCAGCCCTGGCCTCGACCCACTCTGGGTACCCCCGTTACCCCTGCCAGCCACAGGCTGCTTCTCACCTCTGCATGCCAGCTTTAGGTGGTTGCACTGGCTGCAGGGGTCCCTGGCCCCCACCACCAGGCTTAGCTTTAGCTTTCTCACCTGTTGGGAGTGGCCCCATCCCCTTGTGTGTCGGATTTTGACCCCAGTGAAGGGGAAAGTTGGAGGAGGCGCTGTGTCATCTCTGGGCCTCTCCCAACAACCAAGGCTGCCTGTCACATTTCTGGGTGTCCCCCTGCCCTCCCCCACCCCACTTTCTGGCCTCCCCCCAGGCCGACTGGTGCTTCCATCCTACTGTCAGGCTGGTAGCTGTGGCCTCCCCCGCTTCAGCTGTCTGCCTCAGTGCTATGTCCCCACCCCTCTGCCACCCTTAGCTGCTTGCCTGTGTCCCTGGCCCTGTCTACTGGCTGCCGGCTGTAGCTCTCGCCACTCCAGTCTTGGCTTGAAGCCCAGTCAGCCGACTGTACCTCACCCACACGTACCTGCGCCCACCAGCGACTGTGATCAGCAATAGTCCCCGCTCCCCCGACCCCCAGCTCTAATTACCTTCTGTTCTGGGTTTGGCTCCCTGGGCCCAACCATAGTTTCTACCCCAGAGGTGGTGGTTTTGCAAAGGGACAGAGAGGATCTAACAGAAGGCCTGCTGCTATCTAGTCCCACTAGAGACCCCCAAACCCACCACTCAGGCAGAGGGAGGGTGAGTCCTGGGCCCAGTCCTGGAGATACTTGTTAACACTCTCCACTACATCAACACTTTCTCAATGTCCATACCGCTCAGAGCTGGCCAGGGCTAAGGAGGGGCTGGGGAATGGGCTGGATCAGGGAGGGACAGGGACGGTACCTCAGAGGGGGGCATGGGCCCCATCCACATCGTCTTCCATTCCCAGGGTCCGGAGGGGGGTGGGGAGGGGAGGAGAGATAGGGTGGGGGTGGGGGAAGGACCCTGGGACCCAGTGTGTCCCAAACCATGGGGAGTGTCGAAACCGCCACACCAATAAACACCTTTTTCCAAAACGCTGTCTGTGACATCCCTGTCCCAGATAACTGAGCTGCAATCACTCTCTTCGAGAGACCTTGGCATCTAGTCTCCAACCCCCTGTCTTGGTTGGGGATCCCCATCTTCTTATCCCCAACTTCTCCCAAAGTACCCAGAGGTCCACAAAGCTGTTTTATTCCTCACTGCTATACGCCAAAGGTATACTCACACACACCCAGCTCAGTTCAACCTCCAGAAAACTCCCACCAACTTATAAGCAGCCACATGGGAAGTTCTGCCCCTCCACCATGCCAAATCAGGAAGTCCCACCCCACCATGGGCAAGCAATCCTTCCTCTGCAGTAGAAAGGCCACTTCCTGCTCTGGCAGTGAACAACAGAGGAAGTCAGGCCCTGTCAGGCCTCTAAGCTTGGTTCTTCAAGGAGGAAAGGGCAGGAAGCCCCACCCCCTCAGCGGCACTGAGACAGGAAGCCTCCCTTATTGGGAGACTGGATGGAATCATGAGACTTGAGATCCCTGACTTTTCCACTGTGCAAAGCAGAGTTGCAGGCTTAGTTGTGCAAAGTTAAGACCCTTCGTCCTCCGCTGAGCACCCAGAGCTCCGGGCAGTTTAATGTCCTCGGGCTCACACTGGCTGCTGCTGTTCACACCTGTGTGGCTGACCGCACTGTTTGGTGAACTCCCTTGGGGCTGGCAGCAGGGCCCTGGCTGGAAACCGCCACCTGGAAGGAAAGAAGCAAGAGGGGCAGGAGGCTGAACTCCAGGGTCTAGGGCAGGAAGGAAGAGGCCTGTCTATGTCTCCCAACCTCACCTCTCCCCAGTTGTGCCTTGGCAGAGAAAGAGAAGAGACCGAAGTTCCAGCCCCACGTGGGTGAACACAAATAGGAATTCTCACTGATATTTTGTAAAGAAGGGGGAAACAGGAAGTCCCACCCCATCTGGTGGGAAAAACAAAGTCCTTCCCCTATCTTGTTAAAGTAGGACTTGTCCCATCTTGTGGAAAAAAAAAAAAAAAATAGGGCCACCCCTCCCTATGAATTGAAAAGGGAGTCCTTCCCTACCATAGAAAGAAACAGGAAGTGACACCTCATGATGCTGTTGTTCTTAAGTGAGCCTTAGAACCAAATGGGTTCATTAGTTCAACCCTAGAAGCCAGGGGAAGTGACTGGATCAAGGTCACACAAGTAGCAGCGTGGCAGAGCTGGCATTTGAATCCAGGTCCCATAACTGCAAAAACCACCCCCCTTTCTTTACATCAGACATCTCCCACCTTAACATACTTTTGTGGTGGGGAGTCTCACCCTTCCACCTTGTGGAGAGAAAAATAATCCCTTTCACTGCCCCCTTCTGAACAGTCAAGCACATCTCATTCTACATCTACTCACAGGACAAGCCCAGGTTGGACTGGGTTCTATGGCAAAACCATGGGGGGAAGGTTGTGGGGCCCCCACAGAGGATACACTCTGTGTCTTCTTCTCTGGGGTGAAGGTTGCAGGGGGGAAGATCAGGGGCTTCTTCCTGCTGTTTCCTACACAGTCAAAGGGAAGGGAGTAAGTGGGTGACTGGCTAGCTGGGCCTCCCACACCTTCCTCTCACTGCCCACAGCTAAATCTGGCCACACACAGGCCAAGGGAAGTAAGGGAATAGGGGGAGAGTCCAGAATGAGCTTTCTTCGATGTGTCCCTTTTAGGTCCAACTGGCTTCTGTTCCCCAGGTCATAAGACATCTATTCTCTCTGCTCCTATCTACTAGACACCCCATTCCCTTTTATCTCCCAAATTCTTCTCTGTTCCTGCTGTCCAAAAATATGACCTAACCCAGGGGTGGAGAACCTGTTGCTTGGAAGCCACATGGGGCCTTCTAGGCCCTTGGATGTGGCCTTTTGACTGGATCCAAGTTTTCCAGAACAAATCCTTTTATTAAAGGGATTTGTTCTGTGAAGTTTGGATTCAGTCAAAGGGCCACAGATGAGGACCCAGAGGGCCACATGTGGCCTCAAGGTTGTAGGTTCCCCTCTCCTGATCTAATCCAACATGGGCCTGGTTCTGCTCTGCTCCTTCCCTAGTGGTCACCTTTCTCGTTGACCAAAGTTGTATCTTCTCCTCTGCCCCAGTCAAGGTTTTTGTCTGTTCAGTCCCCACTGGCCATAGTTCTGCTCCCTCGTCATTGACCAAGTTTCTTATCTGCTTTCTCATTCTAGGCAGGGTTCTCATCTGCTCTCACCCCATTGGCCATGACCTCCTCACTGCCTCACTGGTCACCATGACCTGTTCATCAGTCACCAATTCAAAAGCTATGGAACCATCCCTCGCTCACCCCATAACCGACAGGCACAGCACCCAAGCAGGACCAGCAGAGCTGCAAGGAGGGACAGAGCCAGCAAGGAGCCGAGCACAACGCCCGCAATGGCCCCGGGGCCCAGGATGGTACCTGGTTTAGAGAGGGAGACAAGATTTAAGGATGGTACCCAGGAGTCAGATATGCCAGCCTGCATCAAGTACCCAACTGTGCACACACAGGCACATAGACTCCCAATCTCACCAGCCCGGTAGCTCCGGCTGGAGGAAGGGATCCCAGGCTGACTGCCCAGAGTGGGCAGCACCCGAAGCTTCCAAGGCCCTGGGGGCTGGGAGGGCAGGAGCACTACAGCCGAGCGTTCCCTGGGCCCCAGGAGTAGCAAGGACGTCCAGGCCCCTCCACGCAGGCCTGCGGCCCCTGCTTCTGGTCTCTCTGTCCGTGCCTGCACCTCAAAGCCACTGACTACACAGCCACGTTCCACATCCCACGTCAAGACAGCCACCCCATCAGCAGGCTGTAGCCGCCAAGAGGAGATGGAAGGCCCTACGTGAGAAGGGGAGGAGAAAGAATGGAATCAGGTCCTTAGATCCCTAAGCAGGCAGAACTGGGGGTCCGCGGTGGATCCAGACACCTGTATGCTTAAAAGGGCAGAGATGGGGACAAGGACCCACGGGCCAATGATAGGGCAGGAGCCGTGAAAATAGGACGCGGTCACTGAATAGGGAGAGCTATGATTCAGGACTCTGGGATCCCTCTGGAACTGACCAATGAGGGTGATGCGGTTCCCACCAGCCCCAAGGGCCCCACTGCACAGCACAGAGTAGTTCCCCACGTCATGCTCCAAGCTGAAGTTGCCAAGGAGAAGCCTATGGCCATCAGGGCTCAACTTCAGGCGGCCCCCACCCCCGGGTGCCAGTGGCCGTCCCTCTCGAGCCCAGGCCACCCTGGCTGGTGGAGGACAGCCTGCGACCTCCAGGGTCACCAGGGCCTCCCCAGATGTGGACTTCTCAGTTTCCAGCTTCAGCAGCACTTCCTCAGGGGCCTCTGAGGAGAAAAAGCAGAGTCAAGAAAACTGCTCCCATAAAGCTAATAGCTAGCATTTCTACAGCTTTCAGGTTCACAAAGCACTTGACAAACATGATCTCAAGATCAGCCCTGGAAGATGAGTGATTTTATTATCCCATTTTACACTTGGGGAAACTGAGGCAAACAGGGTTAAGTGAGTTGCCCCCGGTCACCTCCCCCTGGGAGGTATCTGAGGCTGGATTTGAATTCAGGGTTTCCTGACTCTAGGCCCACAGCTCTATCTAGGGGCCACCCCAAGCCAAGGAGAAAGAGGAAGTCTCGCCCTCCCTGGTGGACAAATGAAAAATGGAAGTCCCATCCTTTCTCCTATGGTAGAAGGAAAAGTACACTTAATTCTAAAACTAAAAGAAAAAAAGGGGGAAATTTAACTCCTTGTCCCCTGGGGAAAGGATGGTTCTTCTACCCCCAGAGCCTAGGACCTTTCTTAGTCACAAGAGGAAGTTCCACCTCTTTTCTGGGGGACAGGGGAGGAAGTCCCACCCCCACCACGGGGTAAATGGGGGAGTCTCTAAGAATTAAGAGGAAAACCTCTGAGACCAAAGATTTTTTCCTCGCACTTGGGACAAGGCCCGTTTAGTTCTGTCCCAGAAGCTGCCTCCCTCTTGGTAGAGGCGGAGATCCGCCCCTGGTTCCCAAAGGCGGAAGTCCCGCCCCCACTTACTGGGGGTGACGCTACAGCTCCTCGTGGCCGCGAGGTGGCGCCCGAGGCACGTGAAGGTGAGTCCGCTGAGCTGCGGCCGCGCAGGGACCGAGACGAACAGCGAGGAGGGAGAGGGGCTCGCAGGGACGTCCGGGGGCAGCCCCGTCCACTGCACCGAGGCTCCAGGGACGCCCCCGGGCCACGTGCAGCCTAGGAGCAGGCTTCTATCTCCCGGGGAGGCTTGCATGGAACAGCGCGGGGAGCCGGGAGGCGGGGCTGCGGGAGGGGAGGGGAGGGGTCACAGAGGGAGCCCCGCCCCCCAGCCCTCTCCTCCAAGCCCGTCCCTTCCCTCCTCCCGCCCGCGCTCTCAGTAGGCCCCGCCCCCTTCCTCTTAGCCCCTCCCTGTGTGCCCACCCCGCCAGCCCTCTCCTTCAAGCCCGTCCCTTCCCACCTCCCGCCCGCGCTCTCAGCAGGCCCCGCCCCTTCCTCTTAGCCCCGCCCTGTGTGCCCGCCCCCCAGCCCTCCTTAGCCCCGCCCGTCTTCTCCGCTGAGCTCCAAACCTCCCTGCTTTCACCCTTCCCTGTCTCTGGCTGAGAACCTGCTCCCTTTCCCGGTCTTCCCTCGGACCCAGGCCCGCACCGGCCACGGTGAGGTTGAGCAGCCCGCGGCGCCGGAGTCCTGTGCGTGGATTGGCCGCGAGGCAGGCGTAGGCTCCTGCGTGGGCTGGCCCCACGCCGGGCAGGAGGAGTCGAGGCCCCGCGGGCACGGCGGCCTCTCGTGGGTCTGCCAGGCTCCAGGAGAGCTCGGCAGGCGGCCTGGAAGCGGCATTGCAGCGCAGGGTCACATTGCTGCCCACCGAGACGTAGCGGGCGGGGCTTGCGTCGCCGTCCGAGGACACAGTGATGACCGGGGGATCCGGGCCGTCTGCGGGCGGGAGAGGCGTCAGTGTCCTCTCCGAACCCGCAGCCCCCGGACCTAGGCGTCAGGACCCCCGACCCGGGCGTCTCGGCCCCGGAACTGCACCCCACCTCCGGGGGCCCCGGGCACTTGCCCTTCCTACTCCAGGTGTCCCCCGCCCCGCCCCCCGCCAGGGATCCAGGCATTCTCTCCGCCTCGGCTCCCCCCTCCCTGTGCGCCCTCTCCTCCCGCTTCGCCTTCCATTCGTCGGGGATCCGGAGGTCTCATGCCCAGCTGTGCCCCTCGCTTACATAGGACGGTGACGGCCGCCGTGGCCTCACTGGCCCCGAAGGGGCTCTGCACGCGGCACGTGTAATTGGCCTGGTCTGTCCTCTTCGGACGCGCGATGACCAGGTCGACTCCGTCGATCCTCAGCCGGGCCGGACCTTCACCGTCTCCGGGCCCCGCTTCCAGGGGCCGCCCTCCCTGGCTCCAGCTGAGTTGGCCCTGACCGGGCCGGGCTCCCACGCAGCGCAGCCGCAGCTCTGGCGCCCCTTCCTCCGTCACTGGATCCGCGGGTACCACCGCTAATCGTGGCAGGGGCTCTGCGCAGGAGATTTGGCAGAGGGCGACCGGACTTAGGCGCCCCCGTCACCCTCCCCCTCTCCGCCCACTCCCAGGGAGTCCTGGTGGCACCTCAGACTGTATCCTCATCTGTAAGATGCTGAGAAGAGCGCCTACTGTCACAGGCTTGTTTGAGGATCAAACGAAATAATGTGTATAAAGACCTTTGTGAACCAGAAAGCTCTACACCCATGCCGGCTCTGACTAATGGGAAGAGCTGGGATAGGTCCAGTGCTCTCCTTTGACAAATAAGTAACCTGAAACCCGGAGCGGGGAAGGGACCGAGGTCAGCTCCCCCCGTCGCCCCCGTATCCACCACAGCCCGCCAGTGCGTTGGATTTCAGGACTCCTCTGCCCCCTCACCGTACACGTAGACTGTGACCTCCCGGAGCTCCCGTTCACGCCCCGCGTGAATCAGCTCCGCAGTATAGTGGCCGCTGTCAGCCAGTTCTGCCTGCTCCAGATCAAGACCACCCGTTGCCTGGTCAAAGCGCAGCCGGGTCCGGTAGTCTGGGGCTAGGCTGGGTGGGGCGGCTTTGCTCCCCAGGGTCCCAGCCGCCAGCACTGTGGTTCCCCGACGCCAAACCACGACCGGACTGGGTGGGCCCAGGGCTGGAGCCGGAGCTAAGCGTAGGGAGATGGGAGAACCCACGAGCACCGACAAGGGACCCCCAGCAACCCGCGGGCTGGACCACCCAGAAGGCACTTGGAGAGGCGGCTCTTTCAAATGCTGAACTGTAGGAGACGGTGTTCTCTCTCTGGGTGCTCCAGGAGAGGAAGCGTTCGCACCCAGCGCCGTAGCAGAGGAGGCTTTTCCACTCAGAACTGTTGAGTTATTCCCACGAGAGCTGCTGGGAGAGGGGACGCTCACTCCAAGAGAGGGCACTGAAGGCGAAATTCTGCCACCAAGAGTTGCAGGGGATGACGTTCCCATGCCTGAAACTGGATGTTGTGTTTGGGAGAGAGAGGACAGTGAGAGAGATGGGTAGCGGAAGGAGGCAGACGCCCTGCGGCTGCGGGTCTTACACCACCAGAGGTACTTTGAGGAAGGGGCCTAGGGAGTGGGGAGAAGGCTCTCCCATAACTGGGGAGTCTGTGGAGAGAACTCAGAAAAGGGCACGAAGGTCTTTCAAAGGCAAAAGAGAAAAAACGACCAGGGCAGGATCTCAAGGCTTCCCCCACACTCCTTCCCTCCCCCCCCCCAAAAAAACCCAAGGTTATGGAACCCTTACAGAGAAAGCCCAACTCATAGGAGAGCCCTGAGATGAAAGGTCTACCCAACTCTACCAGAGAGGTGCAGTGAGTAGCACACGGTAGAGATGTCTCTTACAGACAAGAGTCCTGGAAAACCTTGAGACAATTCCCCTGGCAGTGAGGTCTCCTGTGAGGGCACCTCAAGAAAAATTCAAGTCTCCCACAGTGAAGGGACAGAAAGGGCCACAAGGGTCTAGGTAAAGGCTTTCCCATTTGCCACAGGGTATGGAGGGGTGCTCACCCAGAAACAGGAGTAGCAGCAGCTGGAGAGGCTGAGGCCCCTGGGTGGCCATGTTGTCAAAGGCAAAAAGCCAGGGGTAGGTCCGGCCTCCCAACCCTCCTAGAGCTAAGACGGGTCTGACAAGCCAAGCGGCTTCCTGGGTGGGGATCCCGCACCAACACAGGGGACACAACCCATGGATTTATGAATAGAACTGTGACGATTCTCCTTGCTACCCTCCCCTCTCCACACTTCCTCCAACCCAGGTGAAAGCCCTAGTGAGCACCAAGCCCAAAGGCATTGGTGTGGGGGAACAACCTTGGCCAGAGGGGTCCAGGGTTTGAAGGGGAAGCAGCCGTGGATTCAGGGATTTCCCAGCTACTGAACAAAGCCCTAGTCCCTGGGAAGCCCTAAAACCCTAGGGGAGTTTGTAGTCCAAGAGACTGAGGAGAAGGGAGGGGCCCCTCTGGACGCCAGTGAATCAGTGCCATGATGTGTGGAGAGGATGGAGTCAGGTGGAATTCCGGAAGACTTCCTGAACCAGGTGTTTCTAAAAGGCAAGTCCACGAGGCCACAGAGAGGAGGCAAAGGGGGGAAGGGTGCCACAAATTTATTGGGGGGAGGGGGAGTTCAGACATGCCCTGCCTCTTTCAATCTGGCCACGAGGTCCTCAGAGGTCTCCACTTTCAGCCCTGCTGTGCGCTGGGGCGGATCCTCCACACTGAGCACAGAAATGCGGGAGGACGTGTCCACCCCCAGGTCCCCAGGCTTCACCACTTCAATCTTCTTCTTTTTGGCTTTCTGAAGGAAGATTTAGAGGGAAGGTCTAGGCTCCGTTATTCTGGGAGGGGCAGAATTGATGTTCCCATTCCCATCAAGGCAGCAGAAGGGCAGAAGCCCCTCCTCCAGGGGGCCACCCCCACCCACCACCACCCCCAAACCCAGCCCTCTGCTCAAGACCCACTTATGCACTCTTTCCCAATGGCAGGTGGGCCCTGGTGTGTCAAGAGACAACCACTCCAGGGGCTCCCAGAAAGCGTGACCAGGGACCCTTGGAAGCTGACAGGGCCACAGCAGGCATTGGGCCAACAGACCAGGAACCAGTGAGCAGTTAATCTAAGGCCCACATTTTATAGATGAATCAACAGGACAGCGGGAGACGAGAAGAAACACCCATGGACCCTCTGGCTTAGGGGAGAGCCAGGCCCGAGGCTCCAGTGCCACCTCCAGGGCTATCGACCCAATCATTTTTCAACATCACATCCCTCCTCAGAGTGCAAACCTTGATTGTGCATCCAGGAGAAATTGACCCACCCCACATTTGGAGAGGGTAGGAAAGGGAAGGGGAGGAGAGCAGGGAATGAGAGCTGACTTCAAGCAGATGGTTTGGTAGAATGTGCAGAGTACAGAACCTGGAGTCCCAGATTCAAGTTGTACCTGGGACATTTATCAGCTGAGGGCCCCTACGGGGACTCAATTTGTTCTCTGCAAAATAGGAAAACAAACAGCTCCTACTTCAGAGGTGCTCTGAGACTCAAACTGTTTGGTGTTTTGTAACCTTTGGAGCTCTCGTTAGGCCTACAAACACAAGCTGTGGCTAAATGTCCGAAGAGCAGAGAGGGACAGAACTGCTCTGTTTGGGGGACAGCCGCAAAGCGGAGGATTCACAAGGATGGCTGGAGCTCAGGAAACATGTTCTAACCATCAGCACTATCTGTAAGTAGGATGGGAGACTTGAAGGGGCAAAGGCTGAATGATCACAGGCGGGGGATGATGGAGGCTGGGATTTGTGGCCTCCCAACTCCCTTCTAACCTCTTAGTGCTCCTCTGTCAGGAGGATCGTGGAAGTCTGAAAGGACTGAGGAGGGGATGTGTGTGTGTGTGTGTAAATGTGAAAGGACTGAGAA